CAAATTTGTGAATAAAACTGTTCCAGTTTTGACTGACAAAATGAATTTGCTAAAAAAATTTAAAAAAAATCGATAAAGACATTTGTTAATTAGTTTTTGTGTGATAATCGGCAAAACCGTTTCTTTATAACTGGCAGATAGGGGCAAATTTTTTGTGAGCATTTTCCCAAGAAATTCTTAATCGATTTTGTAAGTTGAAAAAATGTTTTTTATAGATATCAGTTTGTGCTGACCGGGTGAAGATCAGCCAGACCGTTTTTTTGTAATTATTAATTGATTTTTTTGACGATATCAGAGAAATTTTACTTTATGATAAAGTTCACAGTCTTCAATTATAAATTGAAAGATTAATAATAAAAACTAATGCAAAAATAATATAGCAGATTTCGAAAATTCCAACAATTTTCGATAGATAGCAGTTTGTGTTGAATAGGTAAAGATCAGCCGAACCGCTTTTTTGTAATTGATTATTGATTTTTTGGACGATATTAGTGAAATTTAGCTTAGTGATAAAGTTCATAGTCTTTAAATAAACATTCTAATGATTAATAATAAAATCTAATGCAAAAATAGAATATTAGATTTTGAAAATTCCAAAACTTTTCGATAGATAGCAGTTTGACTGTTTGTGTTGACTAGGTAAAGATCAGCCAAACCGTTTCTTTGTGATTAATAATTGATTTTTTGGACGATTTTAGTGAAATTTAGCTTAGTCATTTAGTGTATAGTCTTAAAGACTATTCTATTCACATTTATTTTTAAACACATTTTGCTCAATTTGAAAATGGTATGATGTCAAATTAAAACAATGGACTACTTCCTGATTTTTTAACATAATTAACTCTAGCACATTTAGGGACCGATTCTGCCGCTTAACAGAAAAATGTTATGGCAAGGCATGTTATGAAGAACTTTTTATACTGAATATTGACAAAAGCCAAGTGGTTGGTGTGCAGTCAGGCGTATTTCTCTTAACCTAGAAACCGCATAAATGTCAAAAAACGATCTTAGATAACATGATTTTTCTGACCCAGCTTCATAACATACGAGTGACGTTGCAGTTTATGTGTAAAACACCTGATTGGACAGCAAATACATGACATGATGACAGTATTCAGTATGATTCAGTAGCATAATGTATGGAAGTTGGAGCATAACATGGCCTTGCTATAACATTTTTCTGTTATGCAGCAGAATCGGTCTTTTAATTTGTGGATGTGTTTTATATTTTTTGTACTGCGTAGAAAGATCAATCAAATTAATACTGAAACTTCTGATTAAGAGTATTCTTATTAGGCTGCAAAAAAATAAAAACAAATTTGAATAGTCAACTAAATTCAAACGTAGAAAGGCTAAAAAGTAAATATTCTGAATGTCTAAAATTCTTAGGTTTCCAACCCCTGTTTAAGTCATCACCACTTGCCAGTCAAGAATATTAATCACTCATTTACAATAAAATTAAATCCACGTCTATTGTCTTATCAAACTTAGCGTAAAATGAATTCCAACGCATTTAAATTCTGAAATACTAATTACGTTCTATTATTGAGAATATGTATGCAATTGTTCGAATTAATAATGTATGAAATTATTTGTCTTCATGTCACCATAAAATTAATTATTGTCGGGTAAAATAGTTGTTAACATGGGTTGTTTGACATTTGCAAAAGCCGGGTTAACATTGTTTGAACAGAAATGTATGGCCGCAGAGTTATTCAATGTTATGTCATGTTTACATAATATTTGGATGTGGGTTGTATTTTCTTTTGTAAATATATTTATGTAATTTTGAATTTGATGCTGACATGTGTATTAACAATGTGTAATAATTAAGCGTAACATAGAAAACGTGAATTTATTTAATGGAAATATAATCCAAATACAAACTTTTTGTATCGCAAAGTTCGTACTTTTAAATACTATTTTGGTTTAGTAGAATAAAGCAACCATCGTGAAAACAAAATAGTCAGATTATTAGGTCTATCTAAATGAGTATAGCTTTGAATTGTTTAATATTTTTCAAACTTCATGTATTTGAAGATGTTTGATTGAATTTGCTAGTTTTACCAACATATATTGAATCACAATCTAAACAATTAATTGATATATCAGATTTCTAAAGCGTTCGACATTCTAAAAACTGCTTGAGTTCTGGTAAAATTATTTTAAGTAGTAGATTCAAAATTGTTTGCTAGTTGTAGTTATAAAAAAGTTTTGCCCAATTAAGGTATATTTTTTGTAGGTATAGTATATCTATAGATAAACATGTATAATGAGTATATCATTAATTATGTTCAATGAAGATAATTATGCTCATTGGATAGAAGTAATTGGTTACAAATTTCACATTTGTTACCTATATATGAAATATATGAGAAACTAAGTAAGTTATTGTAATCCAAAAATCGAAATTGAAAATTTTTACATTTCTCGACGTTTTTAAACGTTTTTGAACATTTTAGTATGCCTCAGAAAAAATGGATGTGTGTGTGTATGTATGTATGTATGTATGGATACAATTTTTCGTCCACGTTTTCGGGCGCAGGGATCAACCGATTTGAATGGTTAAAAAAAATCGATTTCTATTGATAGGGAGATGTTCTGATTAATTTTTGGCAAAGGCAGGTCTAGCCGTTACGGAGATACGGAGCAAAGAGTGCAGAAAATACAAATCGAGTTTTTGAGAGAACGGACTATTCGATTTGAATGATCTGAAACATTCAATTTGTAATGATTGGGAGAAAAGGTGATTAGTTTTTAGCAAAGGCAGGTCTAGCAATTTTGAAGATACAGAGCTAAATGTGCAAAAAATGGCAGTTTTTGAGAAAACTAAGCATCCTATTTGAGTTATTCAAAAAACTTTTTGCTTGTTTCAACAAAATAATTGCTTTTGGAGAAAAAATTATTTCTAATTTTTTTTCAATATAATTTTTCTTTGTATATCGAAAATAATTCAGATTCTATTTTTAATTCTGTTCTATATACTATAAACAAATAATTTCAACTTTGCAATTCAGTTTTTATAATTCTTATAAATATTAGACAATGCTACAATATTTATAAAAATCTATATGAAAACATTTGATATTTCTCGATCATTTTGTTACGGTACGGGAAGTTCCAGCAATTTGCCTCAAGGCACGATGCCATATACCACTAGTTTACAGTATGGATATAAAAAACTTTCAAAAAATTTCAAAATTTACAAAATTTTCAAAAAACATTTTAATTTTTAAGAAAATTCCAAAAATTTGTAAGTTTTCAAATTATACCAGTATTTTAAAAAAGGGAATTTTCTCAATTTTTCCAACATTTAAAGTTTTAAAATGTTTTTAAAATATGAAAAAAAAATTTTTTTCAACAAGTCAAATTTACAAAATTTCTTATCCCATATCCATTGTTATTCATGTCTCTTGGAAATAAATGAAGAAACATCAACGTTTACGTCTTCTCATTTATTATTCTGATAGCTTTGTGTAAATTTGAGGCGTCTGAAATTGCTGAAATTTAAAACTTTCAGTTTTACGAGCACAGACATAAATTTAACATGAGCTATGTAAGATTATTTCGTGTAAGTGCTCTTTGACCTTAAACTCAAACTATAAAGTTGATTTTATTGGAAATGGTAATAAAATACGAAAATTTAGTGTGGAGAGTAGTAAATTTTGAGGAAAAATTAAATGTTAAATGCATTTGACGATGCAGTGCTTCCAGATTAAAAGGTTAGACTGACGTTCTAAATTTTCTTCAAATGCTATAGATTTTAAAATGATAAAGTTTCTTAATTGAAATGGAATTCAATAACATTTTTTCTATCATAGAAAGCCAAATTAGGAAAGCACAAAATGTTATTATTTAAATTTGGGATATTGAAAAGTTAATTAATTATCATTGATTTTGCAGAAAATGACCAGTTCTATCAATTTGTATCCGGTACCAAAATTTTGTAAAATTTTGAAACCATATTGGACTTTTAATTCTTTTTTGACAAATGACATGGTATAATCTATTATTATTTTTCTATTTTGGCAGTCCCTGCTCTATTTTCTCATATCCACATTTGAATTTATACGTCTCCATACATTTGTTTACTAGCAAAAGTACATATTCGCACATGTAAATCAAAAGCCTTTTAGGCAAGGCGTTTTATCCTTCATGGCTTAGATCTACGGAACATCATGCAAATTGGAATGATATTATTCAGTCACAAATGGAAATAGGAAAGCTAGAGGAAAATTTATTCCATAAAAACATTATCTGTAATAAGATTGTCTTTGTTGCCTAAAAAAAGTTTTTTTAGTCTGATCATACTTAATTTTATTTTATGAGCCATCTAACAAGTTGACACCAGTAAATTAGTTTCTGAATTGAACAAAACATGTTTTTTTTCAGAATCAATATAGAAACCAATTCTGTCGCATAACAGAAAAATGTTATGGCAAGGCCATGTTATGAAAAACTTTCCATACTAAATATTGACAAAAACCATGTGGTTGATGTGCAGCCAGGCGTATTTCTCAGGTTGTCGGACACGAAACCTAACCTAGAAACCGCTCAAATGTCAAAAAACGATATTAGATAACAGGGTGTTTCTGACTCGGCTTTATAACATACGAGTGACGTTGCAGTTTATGTATAAAACGCCTGAATAAACAACAAAGACATGACATTTTGACAGCATTCAGTATGATCCAGTAGCATAATGTGTGGAAGTTGGAGCGTAACATGGCCTTGCCATAACATTATTCTAGTCAGCTCATCTCTGATTTCAATAAAATTTGTATCTTTTACATTGCCAAAAAACAATATTTAATAAAGTTGTAGTTTGTAGTATAGTGAAGCACTTCATGGAACAATGAAACTTTTTCTCTAGTGAGAGTTTGGGTACAAGAACTACATTTAAATTCCAAATCTCAAGTTACACCGAATATAAGATTCATTATTTCTATCTAATATATATTTCCCCCAGCCCTCCCTCTAATGATTATTCAGTCTCCAATATGATCAAGGAGCAGCTGCATGCATCAGGGTTAAAGTCAGAGCTCTTTGCATAATGCTTCGACTTGCGGCTTGGGAAATGCATAGAAACTACACTATTCTTCTTCGGAAAATCCACTTTTCTTCCACAAACACATTTCTAGACTTATCATTTATGCACGTCAAATATCTACAGTGTTTTACTTATGTCGGAAAAGGAAAATGCAATCGGTATCGAACTGGAAACGCAATGTTCGAGTGACCTGGGGAAATGTGAAAATTGGAAAAGTTTTTGTGTACAGCACTACACTGTTTGGTGTTTATATTCGAATGAGAGCTGACAAAATAACACACAAATACATACACACATACATTTTAGTAAATTTTTTTGAGGGTGTGTCTTTCAAAGTAGACCGATTTCAAAATTTTAAATTCATGGTTCAACGAGAAATTGAAAACTTGGGGCAAGTGTGTCATTACTATTGACTTTGCTCCTATAAATCTTTTTGATAATTACGATTCCAAATTAACAAAATTAACAAAATTAAATTATTAAAATTTCTAAAAATTATCCACAATAACCCAAAAATGGTAACAATTTTGCCAAAGCTCTATGTTGCACTTAAAAACTTATATTTTTCAAACTACGTGATACATTTTTTTTGTAGTTTTTTTTGCCCCCTTTCGACTTGATGTTGAGTTCTGGGACGCCCTGGTCTAATTATAAATATAATACTGCAAATAAATATACAAACGCTATATGAATATCTACAAATTACATTTACTATATTATATTAATATTAAACAAGCATGAAATAAGGAAACTATTTCAGTAATTTATATCCTCAAACTTTGTACATGGGAATGTCTCAAAAGCAAACTTATGATCTAAACCATATGGAGACCACAATATATAGAATTTGTGAAAGTTTCGAAATTTGCAAAGTTTCAACAATAATCATCTTAGGATAGTACTTTCTTTATCTATGTTCATAAATAGATAGACGATAGAACTATTTTTGTCTACTCGTCCTCGACTAGAACTAAGATAGGCTTGACAGTAAAAATTGGTATATTTTTTTTCAAACGACTTCTTATAAGTCTATAATATTTTAGGATGTTGGTTTTGGCCATCAACTCTATAAAAATGCAAAATTTCATCAAATTTCCGTAAAATTATTAAACATTAGATTCTCCTAAGTTGATATTTATTGCTTTTACATTGAAATATATTGAAAGCTTCACTGGCTGGAAATTCACTTCCGAGCTTCAGTTTCTTTAGCAAAGTTTCTTGTAATTTATATTACATATACAATTTATTATTTTTAGGCCCTGTGACAGAAATCTCAGGGATGCAGAACTAATAACATGTCGTTTAAAACGTGTTGAACAACTATGCCAGTTGCCAACCTCTGTACTTCAGCAACTTGCCATGTGTGGTTATTATGAAGATTTGGAGAAAGGAGTCACATGTAAGTATTTTTTATAAAAAATTCATATATATATATATATATATACATATTCATTTTTATGAATTCACACAAAAGTTACAAAAATGCAAATTACCAAACCATTTAAAAAGTACTTAGCACTCGTGCTCATTAAAACAACACTTTTTATTTATCCGAACGTTCCGTTTTTCGTCCTCTCAATGGATATTATTTTTTTTAAAACGAAACCACTTCGAAAAAAGTTTCAGTATTCTCTTTTATTTCCAACACCAACATTGGAAGGAATAAATAAATATTGATTCGTACTTTGCAGTTTTCAAAATGAGCTTTTGTCGAATACGTTTTCTTTTCGGGCTTTTGTAAATTGTTTGGAATGAGAAAAGATCAGTACTGAATGGTTTGTTTTATTTGAAAAAAAATCTATGAGTAAAGGATACTTTAAATTACTGCCAAAATATATAAAAACTGGAAATAGCTATTTTCTCGTTTATTGTTTTTTTTTTCAACTCAAATTTGTCTTAATGAAGATACACGTCTTGAATTAAAAATGTAAATTTAGAACCAATGAATATATTTTAAAAATTCATATAAATCCAAAGAAATTTTTAACATCGTCCCAAAATCAGAATCAAAATTTTTTACATTATTTCTTCACGTTTTGAAGGTTACTAATCATTTTGGCATACTTCAGAAAAAATGATGTGTGTGTGTATGTATGTAAGGAAACAATTTTTCGTACACGTTTTGAGCGCACGGATCAACCGATTTGAATGGTTTAAAAACATTCGATTCCTATTGATAGGGAAATGTGCTGATTAGTTTTTTGCAAAGGGAGGTCCAGCCATTTTGGAGATAATGAGCAAAGAGTGCAGAAAATGCAAATCGATTTTTTTGAGAGAAGAATGCGTTTTGAATGATCCAAAAAAACATTTCAATTGTAATGGTAGGGAGAAGTGGTGATTAGTTTTTGGTGAAGGCAAGTCCAGCCGTTTTGGAGATATCGAGCTAATTGTGCAAAAAATGGCAGATTTTGAGAGAACTAAGAATCCGATTTGAATGATTCAAAAAACTTTCTGCTTGTGTTGGCGAAACAATTGCTTCTGAAAAAAAATTGATCTCAAAATTTGAAATTTCTTTTTTCAAAAATTTTTTCTGTTGTGTATCGAAAATAATTCAGATTTTAATTTTATTCTGACTAAAGTTCTAATATACTTTGAACAAATAATTTCAACGTTGCGATTTAGTTTATATAATTCTCATAAATATTAGATAATGTTAGAACATTTTTTTACGGTACGGGAAGTTTCAGCAATTTGCCTTAAGGCACGATGCCATATACAACTATTTTAATTTCTAACTATAAAATTATGACTAAAATTTGTCTCAAGAATAATACACGACTTAAGTTAAAATTTTAAATTTATAACCAAAGAATATATTTTAAAATTTACATTATTTCACAAGAAATCTTCTTCACAACGAAATCATGTAGTAGCATATAGTAGTAGCAATTTTTCTATTGTCATAATATTTTGAAACAAATGACGAAACGCCAACAAAACATTTTCTTAATGTCAATTTTATTCATCTATTGATTTCTGTATCCATTATTCCTCCATGTGGCTCAAAGCTAAATATATATTTTCTAGTATAATTTTTATAAAGGTATTTATAATACTAAAGTTCCAAAAACCATTATTCACAAATGTAGAAAAACCAAAACACTGTGTTATTAGTGGTGATAAAATATTTCGTTATTGGCACAACGCCAGTAGAGATTTATGGCTTTATGTACAGCCAAATACAGATACTATTATCCAAAAACCTGTCCAAAAAATAGAACCAGTTTTTTTATTGGTAATTGTTTGTTCTGCTACAGGAAACTTTGAAGCTAGAAAGGCAATTCGGTCAACATGGGGTAATAAAAATAATTTGAGCTATAAAAAATATCTTGAAGAGAAATATGGTAATGACACTGGCAGCAATATTGGTAACACTAATAGTGAAATCGGAAATATCAACATGAGAATATTATTTCTTCTGGGATTACCTGATGGTGATAAAAACATACAAAAGAAAATTTTAGCAGAAAACAAGAAACATGGTGATATTATCCAAGAAGACTTCATTGATTCCTACGGAAATCTTACTATCAAAGTTGGCATGATGTTAAAATGGATTTGGACAAACCACAATGACAACATTGAATATATTCTCAAAGCAGATGATGATGTGTATTTGAACATACATGAATTAGTAAATGAATTAATATACATCTACAGACAACCAATTATGCTCATGGGATTATTAGTCACAAACCAGGAACCATATAGCAGCCGTAGAAGTAAATATTATTCACCAAAACATATGTACGACTACAAAGTTTTTCCAGATTACCTTAGAGGATGTTCCTATTTGATGACACTAGAAGCAGCTCTTACATTATTTGAAACTGCCTTGGATACACCAATTCACTATTTGGAAGATGTGTTTTATACTGGAATTTGTACTGTTGGTGCAGAAATTCATCTGGTACACAATGAAGGTTTTGCAAAGAGAAGTGATCCTGATATAAATTGTAAATATTTATGTGACATAACGATTTGTAGCATGAAACCTAAACAATAATAAAGGCTCACAAGAAAAGTAAAAGATGTAGACTACTGTACAAATGTTAAGGAAAAACAAATATTAGATGTTTACGTGTAAAAGTCAAGAAGGGAACTACATTGCAAGACTTGGGAGTCTTCTGCAAGTTTTGAGTATAAAAGAACTTAATGTCTGCCATTTATATATAATAATTGTCAAAAGATATTATGGAGAAAAATTTGACAAATGATATTATGCCAATAAAAGTGTATAGCAAGATGCAGAGAAAATGGCCCTTACGTTTCTGGTAACAACATTTGGTTTTGGCCATGTAAATTATATAAATGTATTTGTCATTGGCTGTAATAAAAATCTCTGAAGATTTTGAAATGTTTTCTATTAATTGTAATATCTGTAGTTTACTTGTTTCATTTATTATGCTTATAATCCAATTAATTTAAGAGTACAATTCAATCAATCCTTAGAAGGTCTTCACCAAGTTCCTGAATCTTCTATGTTTCCACTTCCAATATTTTTTCCAGATCCATCAATGATACAGGTTTGCAAAAAAGTCAAATTTATCACAACTACTTGCCAATAGGTACATGTCACTAGGATTCAAATTATGTGATGTAGCATGGTAGGAAAATTCACAATATCCCATAAAAACTTTTTCGTTTGTAAAAACTTTACTGTTCACAACTGGTATACCAGCAACAAGTGCACATAATCCTGTATAGTAAACATCATCCAAATGGTATATTGGCATATTTAAAGCGATTTGGTAAATTTTTAGAGCAGTATCCATACTCATTACAAAAGCAGATCCGCTGAGAAAATCTGGGTGAAAATCATGTGGATACATATGTACTGGTGAATAAAATTTGCCTTGTTTGTATCTACTGGGTTGATCATTGGAAATCAATTTTCCCAACAATAGTTCATGATGCTTCTTCATATTTTGTAACGTGAGCACCAGTTTGTACAAGTTGATGTATACGTCATCATCAGTTTTCATAATGTACTTCACATTTTTCCGGCAGTTCTTAGAAATCCACTTTAGCATCATTCCAGTTTTTATAGACAGGTTTTGGTAAGTGTCTAAAAAGTCTTCTTGGATAATATCTCCAAACAATTTGTTTTCTAAACGAATTTCATCTTGAACTATAGCATCTACATTATTCACGCCTAACATAAACAATATCCTTACACCAACATCTTGACTTGGCTGTTGATCTCGACCAACAGTTGTTTTATTGATGGTTGTTGGTATTTTTAAATCATACTTTCTATAATCTCCACGATATTTATCGTAGTCATAGTTGAATAAAAACTTGTAAAAATTGTGCAAGGAACGTGTCCTGTAACTTTTCTTAGGAAACTCTGGTTCAGAAAATATGATATCCTGAAGTCCATGTTGGTAGACAATTTCCAAGTATTTTTGATAATCAAATTTAGAAATATTTCCCCAGGTCGATCGTATTGCTTGTCTGGCTTCAAAATTTTGAGAAGCTGAACAAACTATGACTAATAAATATACAGGTCTCTTGGTCCATCGTGGTTCTTGTAAAGAAGTTAGAATTTTTGGTTTTACATACAATTTTAAATCTCTGTTTGCATTTAGCCAATATGAAAATCTTTCGACATCAGTTTCATCAAATAATAATTTATTTATAAGTGATGATACATGGTAGTTGAAATGATGAAGTAGTAGTATCTGGAATAGTATGAAGGCACAGATTATGTATTTTATAAATTTGACTGTTGCAAAACGCATTGGATAATTATTTTTTGACAAATTAACACTCCAAATGACTCTTAAAATAACTTGGTGGCGCAGCTCGTCATTTGTTTTTTTATTTAAAATTGAAAGGTTTGTTCCAATAATAGATAATCTCATGATCAATTTGGTGCACTGAAATTAGTTGTTTGAAAAACAAATGAATTATTGTCAATAACAAAATGTTAAATGTTCCTACTATATTGAATTTGTTACAATCATCTAAATAAATTAAGATTCTGCCAAAAAATGTGGTTCAAAACAGTATATGTGTTTTGCATTATGATAGTTGCTGAAATCTTTATTCTAATAATATACAGATCATCTGTCTTCAACAGATTGCCGGATGATAAATTCACATTTTGGTATAACACAAGTAGAGATTTAAAACTATACCTAAAACCAAATTCTTCAACATTTATTCAAAAACCAAGCAGGGCTATGGAACCTACCGACTTATTAATCATGGTCTGTTCTGCAACTAATAACTTCAATCAAAGAACTGCAATTCGTTCAACTTGGGGCAACATGGATAAACTCAATTTTTCCAAGTTTTTCGAAATTGTCCAGAAGAAAAATTTGCACAAATACATGGTTATGGAACCAGATGCACCTTATCCAAAATTTAGACTTGGGTCGGTGAAAAGATATT